CCCCCTAGCCTACACACAAACATCCACATTCACAAGTGTGTTCTCACAAAGGCTCATGTTTACACAGCCAACACACATACAGAATGCATGTTATAGACTGAAACTTACAACAATGACTGACAGTTTAACAGTATAACACATGGAAACTCCCACAACACATACACATAGATGATAGATAGATAGATAGATAGATAGATAGATAGATAGATAGATAGATAGATAGATGATGGATAGATAGATAGATAGATAGATAGATAGATAGATAGATAGATAGATAGATAGATAGATGAGTTCTGACAGTAACTGCATGTATTAGCTGGGTACCAAATGTTTCCAACTGTTTCCCAGCCCTGTGTTGGAATGACTACAGCCTCATGAGAGATCCAGGGACAGTACGTTAAAATAGCCATCCCACAGAAGTCATGAGATAATATTGTTGATGTCTGACTTTCCTCCTTGATATTTATATGCATACACACTCACTTCTTTTTTTATATACCCTATCCCTTATCATTATCTTCCATATTTGCAAAAGTAACATGCTTTCTGAAATCCCCTCCTCTTTGTATGGTCAATTTTTGTTTCATTTGAAGCTTCAATTTGCACAGAATTTCTGAAAACCCTCCATTCCTTTTCTTCCCTGTCAATATACTATACCAAGGACCTTTCTCTTTGGATCCCTTTATTGAAACATGATTAGAGCAACAGTTCACAATTTATAAATTTTGCTCAGCAGCTAGCCAAGCTCCCCTCCTGTTAATGTCCAGGGGCTCTTTCCGTGGTTCTGAGCAGGGTGTCCACACAAGAACTTAGTTCCTTCCTCCCTTCCCTCCTTGATTCATTTGTAGATTCATTTTTGTATTATCTGTAATTATCTAATTTTGTACATGTGTATGCATGTGATTATCTAATTATGTACATGCTTATGCATGTCCATGCATAAAAGTGTGGATGTGTACGTGAGTGCTAATGTCTATGGAGGCTAGTAGCATCTGGTTCCCTAGAGCTGGGATGACAGGCCTTTTTGAGTTGCTAATAGGTTTAAAGAATCAAATGCTTGTCCTCTGAAAGAAGAGTAAGCTCTCTTGACAGCTGAGCCATCATTTAAATTCTATATACAAGCTTTTTAAGTGTACCTGGAAACATGTTGGGATGTCATGTGCCTCTTCTCCTTACAAGTCTTAATTTCTACTCCATGACAGATTAGTTGGGAATTCAATGTTGGCTTCTTTCTTGTTTACTTCAGAAGAAACATCCATGGTGGTCCCTGGATGTATACCTAGTGAGTTTCCCAAATAATATGTAGGTTGCTAAAGAAGACATTAACCTTTGCTTTGTTGTTCAGTAAGGGTGGCATTGTTTGTTGGGAACTGTGATCCTAGCTGTGGTAGGTTTGCATGTTCAAGGATAGAGACATGTGAATTAGAAATGTTAGGTAGAAGGAACAGAGATAACAAAGAAACACAGAGACATAGGAGAGTACTAGGAGGGCCACTCAGTGCCTCCTGCACACTGAATTCTGAGTTCTGAGTTTATCCATGTTTAAGTTTCCATACCCCAATACAAAAACAAGAATGAGGCAAAAGACTGCTTTAACCTGATACAAAGGAGAACCAGAACAGTTACTTGCCCCAATACTTGAGGTATCCAGTCATTATTTCTTGAGAAAAGCATTCTGTTCTTTAGGCAGCGAACCCACCCTAGACCAAGTATCCTGAAGACAGCCACTTCCTAGGCCAACCTCGTATTTCAAAGGAAGGAGCAGAAGTATGCTTGAATTCTCTGACCTTTGAACAGGGTGGAGTGAATCTACATCTATGGGCCATCTTAATATCCAAACCACCAAGTAACCACACCCTACATCAGGGTGCATAGCCATGGTTGTCAACAACTTTGAATAAGTTAAATTCTCTGACTTTTAGACAAGGTGGAATACATTTTTGGACCTCCACACTTAGTCTTCTATGTCTACATTGGTTCTCTCTCTTTATATTCTCTTCATATTTACATTAAAAGCATGATTAAGGGGTCAGTTTAGTTACATTACCAGCTTGCTTTAACAAACTAGCTGAGTGAAGGAAGTTAGCTTGGAATCTTATGTTTAGATAAATATTCATTTTAGGCATAAAAAAGTTCACATGAAAAAGCTATCACAAAGGTAAGTTCTAAATAAATATGCACATGTGGAACAACATATGATTGGTTTCTGAAATACATGCTTATATACATGTATATAAATATATAAGTTTAAAGAATAGGCTACTGAAAAAAGACTCTCTAGTCAGATATAACCTCACTTCATATTGATCATCAATGCTTTAGTAGGTTTATTTACAATTTAGTGACCCAAACTTCAATTTCATCTTACTGTTGGTTAGCAAGCTGGGTGGGTATCTCATACAGCTTCAGACATCCTCTAACTGTGCTGGTAAAGATCAGTTTCCCAGTTCATGCAGATGACTAATATTAAGACTCTTTTCCTTTCAAGAGCTAAGGCTGTCAGAAACTGTTAGATGGAACCTTCTCTTGTGTTGGAGTTCTTGCTATCTCCCTCCATAAACTTCTTACATTGTGGTAGTGAGTAAATGACAAAGAGTGAAAAAGATATTCTGGGATATTATCTTCTAATCATGAAGCAATATTCTATCATTTGAATATTTCTTAGCATAAGCGATATTGCTGAGTCCAGGACTCACTGGGATAAAAATGTAACTTATTTCCTTACTTTGTTACTGGCTTTCAACACTCTTCCCTAGACATGGACAGTCCTCCTGCTGTATCATCTCCACATGTCATCCCTCCATCCTACTACCCTTCTACTCTGGTGCTTCTATACTACATTCTAATTATACTGATCACTGCCTTTGTTCCTGTCCTTCTCTCCACATGGATGATGTTTTGGACTACATTTATATTAATAAACACTCCATGTAAACTTCAAAATAGAGTAGTTACATACCTTCATCTCAGATCTGTTCCCCAAAGAAATGGAATACTCAAATTCTTCTTAGTTTGTCTTGTACAAATTAACTTACAACAATTTACAACTGCTATACTTTCTCTGATGATCTGTAGCTTTTTTAGGACAGGCACTGTAGTGTGATCATAAGTATTCTTTGGTGGTTTTTTTGATTACATTTGATTGACTTCATACCTGTCTATAATGCCTCATGTTGTTTTGGAATTTGAACTGTATTCAGAATCATAGACAGCAATCATTTATGTAGATATGAATCATAAGTGTTCAGGCTCATAGATGTATTTTGTTTTCAAAACTTTTTTTCCCAAATACAAGTTTCTATAAGCCAAGACACAGATACTACCAGTGAATTATCAAATCAGCCTGTTTCTCATATTGCTCTGCTTTCTCTTACTCTGTCTTCATCTATCGAGAGAGAGAGAGAGAGAGAGAGAGAGAGAGAGAGAGAGAGAGAGAGAACTTTTTATTAAATGTTGGTTTGTTGGTTTTTATTATTTATCTTGCCTAACCTAATAGCCCCTTGGCTATTGTATTTATCTCTGTCTGTAACCAAGGTAGGCTAGATAGATGGTCATTTCAGGCAACCTGCATCATTGGTAGAAATGGTAAGTGCTATTAGCTCAAAAACGACCTAGACTAAATCTTATTAAGCCTCTGTATTGTGTCTTAGTTTGCATCTTTCAAATTCACTATGAATGTGCCTTTAATGATTTACAAGTACATACAGGGGGATTTTTGTGGAGATAAAGTAATAAAACAATTCTGGTACACCATCACTGGAAAAAAGGTAATAAAACAATATTTTACATTAATGTCCTGTAATTTCATAAGACATTTTTAGACCATCTTTCATGACTCCTGATACCAGCAGTAGGAAATAGTGTTTGTTGAATTTTATAGATGAAGAATGGTGTACAGAGAAATCAAATGTTTTGTCCATTGTTGTAGCACAGAATTTGCAGTAGATTAAACAATCCTTGCATCCTTTGTTCAGTGCTTCTCTGTGTTGGTCAATTCTTCATTCAGTGAAAGGGGAGATTAATATTTTCTCCATATGGTATTCATATAATTGCTTGGTTCCTTTCAAATAGTATGACTTCTGTGAACTCCCATTAAAGCATAGCATTACTATGAATTCTGGGCCTAACACTTACTTTGTGAAATGACTTGGGTGTCTGGTAGTTTGGGGCTTAGATTCTGTCCTTTGTTTCTGTACCAGCCTCCCTCGCTACCTCTCTTCCTGCTGCCCTTACATATTTTCATCCACTTGCTTCTTCTTTCCTCCTTCAAGGTTTATTTTAAATCCTTCCTCATGATTACTGTGTGAGTCTGGGATTAACTAAGAAATTTCTATTTGTTTAATGCATTAACCATCTAGTGAGAGCGACTGGCAAATAAGTAATGGGATTGGAGATCTAATTCATCCAGAAGGAATCAGAGATGGATAGTAATCTGCTCTTACAGAAGAAGTGTGATAATTAAAAGAATGAGATTGCCACTCTTGCTGACAATAATGCATGGAAATGCTCATCTCAATCATTTTATTACATGTGGATCATGATTATTGTTTCATTTAACTCAGTCTTTCCATTTTTTTTTATGAAGAAACTTCAGGGCCTGTCTGTGGCTCGATTAAGTATCTTAATGATCACAGTGCTTCTCAATCAACACGTGAGGATTATAGTTGCATTTTCTTTAGCAAAGTGTCACATAACAAATATAAAAAGCAACTGTAGAGCTGAGGACACAGTTGTCAATCGAGAGGTGAAGCTAGGAAGATCATGAGTTCAGCATCTGCCAGGACTATAGTGTGAATTCCATCCTAACTTGGGTACATGGTGAGATACAATGTGAAAAAAGGCTGAAGGAGCTGAAGGAGCTCCCACAGCACAAACTACATATAAAGTGGAACAGTAGACACTCTTTCTTCTACAAGAGATGCCTGCATGGGATGGATGAGTGGTCTTTGGCTTATGCTACAAATGAAAGCTGAAGAATGTTGCTCATTGTTCTTGCCTAGGGAGTTTGCCCGTTGGAAGGTGAGGAATACAGCCATAGAGAGGAGAGACCTGGTCCGCCATCCAGTGCCCCTCATGCCGGAGTTCCAGAGGAGCATCCGTCTGCTTGGCAGAAGACCAACCACTCAGCAGTTCATTGATACCATCATCAAAAAATACGGCACCCACCTGCTCATCTCTGCTACTTTGGGAGGTAGGTCAGCAGCTACTAGGCCAGGATTCTATCATTTTGTGTCCAGGTTGACAGGAGGATGGGATGCTGTGAGAGTCAAGACATATTAGACTCTATTCCATTCTGTATCACCCAAAACCATGCACTTCCAGAGATGCCAGTTGCCTTGGCTGCTGTGATCATGTCTGAAGGATAATCTACATCTACATAAAGTATAATTTGCAAGTATTAACTATTGTGGAAATACAATTTATTAGGGATGCTTCATGTGATCATTGTCATCATTCTTCTGGAATGGGTTCAAATCTCAAGAAAATTAAATGTCAGACATTTCTAGGCAATTTCTTTTGTTTAAGTCAATATTAAGGGGTAATATTTGAGGTTAGCATTGTATAACTGGACTATCATATGCATCTTTTGTGGGCTTGGAACAGGTTAACAAAAAAGTAGGCCAATTGCTTTGCTCTACTCAGCCTTACCCATATTCTCTTCTAGGGCAATCCATCTGTGAGAGAATGAGGAAAGGGAGTAGAATGAAACCAATGGAAAGGCAATGGGAACTATGGGAACTGGTATAAACTGGGGCATTTAGGTTATGTGTCTTGCCTGAATGCATCATTTCATATCCCTCAAGCACAGAGGTGGTTTCTTTTTCTTTTTTTTTTTCCTCCAGTAGCTAAGTTCACAGTACTTTTTGAAAATCTTTCTGTGCACCAACACCTGTGTAGAGCAGCTGAAATGCACTTAGTTGTGGACCTTGTCAGGAAAAAGAATTTAATGTGTTGTTGGATAAAGTGAAGTATGACTGCAACAGGGGTCTTTTCCTTTGGGATATTCAGGGTCAGCCTCATGGGAGCAGTGGCACATTAATTCAGTGGATAGTGGCTTGATACAGGTGGCAGTGCTTTCTAGGCTAAATCTACACTATTAATTTGTGAGCATGTACACGTTTACAATACAGCGTGTGTGCAGGTGGACATACATGTGTGTGTATGTGTATGCATGGACTCAGGAAGTCGACATAGGCTTGAGCTGCTTTCTGTTTCCTTAGATTATTGGCATATGCTCTCACACCTACCTATTTACATAGGCTCTGGGAATCCAAACTCAGATCCCCATTCTTGCACAGCAAGCACTTCGCTTGCCGAGGCATGTCCAAGGGCACTTTGTATACAGTTTGATGAATGGAAAATCAGTAATTTGATAACCTGGGGGATATGGGTGATGATTTTGTCTGGAAAAAAATTCATTCACAGTTAGAATTATTTTAGCCACTAATTAATGAGGATAGCTTCAGTTTAGGCTTTTTATAATGTCTGTATTTCTCAAAACTACAATTTAAATCCTAATACCTACTTCTATTTTAAAAAATAAAATCAGGCCCTGGAGGAGTTAGAGCTAATTAGTAACACAGCTAAATCAAAAGGTTAAGGTATAAAGCCGGAATATTTTTTAAAATTGAGTATCAAATATCACTTTAACCAACTTAGTCACCCATCAAACTACCTATCCACTCCAACAACCAACTGATCAACAATTGTTTATGTCTCTTGTTAATTAGATATTAAATTAAGTAGGACTTTCCATGTGAAATCATTATTATAAATTATACTTGATTGTAAGGTGAAAATGAGGTGATTTCTGTAGTGTGATACTCAGCTCTACACTTTCCTTTGAATGACTCCCAACTCTACTTCACTTGGGAGAAAGGTTGTAACAGCCAATTTGATTTTTCTATTAAAAGTTGTGCTTTTGTCTCAGTCCCTGGAAACCCCAAGTAACAAAAGACGTTTTTCCCTCCATGAAATATATTTTTTAATTTCTGCGAGGCAAGGTGGTAAATTATTCACAGAGCCTTGTTGCTCTTCTGTTTTTACAACACAATGCTTTAAAATATGCAAAACATTGGATTGAAATCCGGTGTTGGACAGCAATCCCTTTTTCGTGTTCTCTCAGGCCTCACTGTGAAGGCACTGAGCAAGGAGGAGAAAGAGATTCACTGTTGATCAAATACTATGACTTAGAAACTGTGTAAGATCCCCCCATGTCATCATTTCACTCATTCATGCTTGGAAAAGTGTTCCTTAAGGGCCTCCTACTGCACTGGGGGGGATGAGGTTAGGAGAGAGTTGTGAAGAAAAGATCAAGACTCAGAATGAGATGGCCTAATTTGTAGTTCTGCAGCATAATATTTTATCAGTTTACTGACACTTCTGCAAATTAGCAGTTCCCTGTGCCTCAGTTTCCTCTTCATACCGAGCCATAATAACAGCTCTGCCTTAATACATACTGTGACGATCGAAAACAAATGTATGTATTAAAAGTCTCATCAAACAGTGGCACAAGACTGAAGAGAAGAAAATGTTATCTTCCTGTCACCTAACAAATTCTTGCTGTTGCTGCAGTATCATCCCTGCTGTTATTTAATGGAGCTAACGAACTCGGGAACCTGTGGTGGAAACCACACCCTGTCGGTCGCTAGAGACTCACTTTCCTTTTCCTGCCAGGGTGTCAGTTTCCCAATCTCTGCCGAGGGAAGTGAAAAAATATTATTTATTATCCGTGTTTTTTCTCCCTAGGAACACTGTATTCACAGAGAATAAGTGCTTTGATAAACCTTTTGAGGTGTCAAGTAAGTTCCTAAAGGCATAATTAAATAACAAAAGATGAGCTTTGAACTGTCATGTACAGGACAAGAAGAGCATTTGCTCAGCACTTTAGGGAAATAGGAAGGACAGGGAGTAGGAGGCACACATTAGAGCTGGGGGAGAGTCCAACAGCTAAGGCATTTCCACTGTTCTTTCAATTTTAATGGAAACTGTTAAATTCACAAAAACACTTGATGTGAATGTTCGGATGGAGGGTAGTTTAGAGACAAATTCTGTGTCTCAAATTAGGTTATTGTAGTTTTCCTTAGTCCCTCTGAAAATCATGTTTTGGTTCAAAGTAGAGTGGTTATCTGTGGGATGTGCCTGATTAAGTTTGCATGCATGCTTGGAATATGTGCCCACCTGTTTAAAAGGTACACATGGATGTCTCCCAAGGCTTGACTCAAAGTGACTACCTTTGGGTGTATCTAATAATACACAGTCTCATATGCATACAGGTATGATAGATGCATATAGGCTTGTATGTGAACTTTTACATGTATGTACATGTATTACTGCATCCCCATCTTTTATCCATGAGGGCTTAGTTTGCTTAGACTTCTGTGTTTTCTTTGTGAGTGTACTTGGTACTCCCCACACTACACACCCAAAAACTTTAATTTGGCTGAGAAGAAGACTGATAATTAAACCACATAGTACCTAAAGAAAGGATGAGGGATGATATAACATCCTTGTGAACAGTCTCCTCAGTCTGTATCCCAGTCTGTATCTTCTAGTGATGAAAAGGCAGAAGTACAAGTTCCCGGCTTTTTCCATCCTCTGTGTGTCTGAGTCTTGCTTTGTCCCTCTGAGGAAAGATGCTGCAGAGAGTGAAGCAACGATACTGGAGGACTAGAAGACCGAGAAAAGGCCTGTGTGGGGTGAAGAGGCAATTTACAGAAATGCCCAAGTGGGAATGCAGCTCCAAGCAGCACATTCTCTTAATATACATGAAATTAAGTCTTAATAATGCAGCAAGAAGTCCATTAACCCCTCTTGATCTAAGGTTTGCTTCTGCCAGCTCTAAGTCCAGAGGGAACCGGCTTGGTTCACCTTCTGTTCCGTAGGCTCCTAAGAGAGTCTGAGCTGACATGTGGAATATTTATTTCAACTGACTCATGGCCTTAACTCCTAGAATTCACTTACCATACACTTCTCTGCCCATCTATTGATGTATCCATTTATCCAATCATCTGTCCACACATCCATCCTCTGTCCATCCATTTACCTGTCAAATGATAACTGAACATCTGTTCTCTGTTGTACCTTAGGAGAAGTATTGGGAACATTAGAAAGATGGATTGGGTGATTCACATTTCCTCTCCCTACCACCTACTGTCCCTGAATCTCAAAGTGTGATTGGATGTAAAGCCATCTCTAAACTAGAACTTTCCAAGCTTAAAGAGAATAGTAGCATCCCATACTGTCCTACGGGGACTGGGGATTCATGAGGAAATGCAAAGATATATATCTTGCTAGAAATTCAGCCAAGTATAGGCTTATATTCTAGTATCCCCTTCATCTGGGAGATTTTGGTCTGGTTGCTGAGGAAGATAGGTCAATAAATAAGCATGTTGAGCAGGGATGCATCTATTTTTATTCATGGATATTCTTATCAACATTTGGTAAGTACGCAATCCACGTGCACATTGTGCTATGTGGGAAGAACAAGGAACTATTAGAAGAGCTCCAATCTCACAGTATCTTTGCTCTAGTGGAGAGAATAGGCTGTTAATTCAGAAGTCCCTAAAGAATGAAATAGGTACTGTGTTGCAGAAATAAAGATAATTGTGTGCATAAATGGAAAATATTCTCAAGTCAGGTAAGGCAAGGAATGGGAGACAGAGAGACAGATTCCAAAAGTAGATAGGATAAGAACAAGAGGAATGGGTGAATATCATGCAGGATAGACAAGTAGAGTAAAGAAACATGGGTTCATTGACAGAGCAGAATAGTCAGCAGTGAGAAAAAGAGGGTTATGTTTGTCAGAGCAGAGTTCTTGACAATGAGGCAAAGGGGTTCATTTTTTAGGTCAGCAACGTCAATATTAAGGTAAAGTGAGGCTTGCTTACTTGAGGAGTGTATGCACAACAGAAGAGGCCAGGTTCTCAGGACTTGTGGCCATGTTATCTACTGAAGTGTTACATACTAGTTTGCATTCCTGTCTATATGACATTTTGCCTTAGTGATTCATCTGGAAAATGGAATGACCTTAAGCTGCTGTCTACTGGAACCATTTCTCGATAATAAGTATAGAATGTAAGCCCAAGTATGAGTGCTACAAGCCATTTCAAATTCTCTCGGAGTATTAATTAGTTCAGGTCTGGCTAGTCTAGCTCTGTGTCTTTAAGCACTACTAACAAAGTAAATCACCCATTCTTTCTCATTTTTTAATTCCTTTCACCAATTCTTGATAGTTCCTCTTCCTTTCCTTCATATTCTCTCTTTTAATGCTTTCCTTTTTTTTTTAAGAGGGTAAGCATTTTATTTTTTTATGCTTTTACGGACTTCTGATCGACTCAAAGCGAGCAAACTATATGTGTAAAGTGTGTGAGTGGAACCAGTATTTATCCCTAGTACATGAACTGGATTTTTGGAGCCCATTCATTATGAAGAGATTACTTGCTCAGCCTAGTTAAATCAGGAATGAACTTGGTCCTGCCTCAAGTGATGTGAAAGATTTTATTGACTCTTCATGGAAAGCCTCACCCTCTCTGAGGAGTGGATGCAGGGGAAGGTAGAGTGGGGACAGTGGGAGAAGGGAAGGGAGAGGCAACTGGGATTGGTTTGTAAAATAAAAAAGATTGGTCTAAAAAAGAAAAAAAAACATGAGAGGGTGGCAAATGCAGGGTCAGTAGTCACACCTTGACCCATCTGTGGTGGTTAGAAGTCCATGGCTCCTTTTCTTTTTTTTTTTAATTAATTAATTTATTTTTATTGAAAAAATTTCTGCCTCCTCCCCCCCTCCCATTTCCCTCCCCCCCTCTCACTCCTCCTTCCTGCCCCCTACTCCTGTCCCTCTTTCTCTCCAGTCTGAAGAGCAGTCAGGGTTCCCTGCCCTGTGGGAACAACTGGCCTTGTGGGAGCCTAGCCTGTTTGAATGCTTTCCTTTTATGTATTAAAAAAAAAAAAAACTCTTTCAGAGAGATGGTATTTGCTAAATAAATACTTAGCCACCGAGCTACATCCCAGACCTATCCTAACCAGTTATTCAGGGGCTATAATAAACCCGATACACTTCTCAAGACTAAATTTTTGAAAGAAAAAGAAAAAAAAAAGATGGAAATCCATTAAGTAATAAATTTTTCTTAATTTTATTAAAGAAGAGTATCATGTCAAAATGGTATCAATAAAAGAAATACTAATAAGAAGTGTTAAATTTTTACACTAAATCTTTTAGTATCATTCCTTAGCACAGCTCAGTGTTTTGCCTGTTTGTCTTTGTGGCACCTGTCAAAGTTCTCAAACAGGGAAATGTTCAGCACAGCCACAGGGGTTGAGCTGAATGTGCACCCTAGGGTGCATTAAAGACAAATGATCTCTTCTTTTTGAACCATAGGGTGACACTGGAGGTAATTCCTGAGCGGTTATAAGGGGTGTATTTGTATATGCCAAGATAGGACTGGCAAGAAGAACTGACATTAGAGCTGGCCTAGAAAGCTGGGTAAAACAAAAACTAAATATTTAGGAGAGAAAGAGGGTAAACTCCTCCGGAAAGCAAATTGCCTTTTCTTTTTTCAACTCAAAAAGTCATCAGTATTCTTAAAACATTCCAGTTGTCCTAGATACCAGGTTTGTGTCTCACAGTGTACTGTGATCTTTGGTTCTCTAAATATTTTATTTTATTGATTATATGTAATGGTAAATACTATATCATAGGTAAACTAAAATTATCAATCATTGTAATTAATAATAAATTGTAATTAATTAAAGCACAATATTTGCTGTATGCCATGCAAGATCTAAGCATTTCTCTTAATAGATTTAGTCCTCCTGTCAACCCTATGAAGTAGATATAGCTTGTATCCCTATTTTGCACATGAAGGATCTGAAGTCTAAGGGTAATAACTAGTTCCAGTTAAGGTAGGCTAGTCCTAGCATCTGGGTATATAACAACTACTATTGATCAATTAACTTACCTTTTTAATAAGTATTTTATTTTATTTTTTTTTACAAATTCTGCCATTTTGATGGACATATATGCAAATGAAATATGATCATATGTACTCCTTCCTGTCCTCTCCATTTGTACTGTTTCCCCAACCTCTCACCAACCTTTATCTCTTTGTTTGGTTTTCATTTTTTCTAGTGTTTTGCTCGTTTGTTTATTTGTTTTGAGACAAGATTTCACTATATGGCTCTGACTGGCCTGGAGCTCAGTCTTCCTTTAGACTAAGAGATCCACTTACCTCTTCCTCCTCCTGAGTGCTGTGATGAAGGCATATCCCACCACACCTGACTTACCTTTGTGTCTTTTTTTCTTCTTTTCCTACTCTCCTATCTTCCCTCCCCTCTTCACTCCTCCTCTCCTCATCTTCCTTCTGTCACTTTGTCTGTATGGTGCCTGAAGACTGAATGTAGGACTTGCTCCGTGCATTATTAGAACATGATCTACCATTGAACTGAGGTCAGAGCCCAATGCTAATTGACTTTCAAATGCTAAAATGAACTAAAGACAGTTCTCAATTCCTTTCTCACATTACCTAATTTATTCTTGCTTATAATCCTAAAGGATTTTTGTTGTGGTAGTGGTCTGTTTGTTTGTTTTTTCTCTTTTTCATAATTGTTGGTGAGTTGGGGGGGTAATAAAAGTAATTAAGAAATGTAATCATGTTATCTCAGTGGAGAATGGAGGCAGAGTGTGGCAACCCTGTCTACTTATTGGCCACAATTAGAGATTCCTTCACAACTACCACTGAAACAGTTAGTTAGGTATATCCAATACCATTGTAGCTTGCTAGTGTTATGAATCTTTACATTAATTTCAAGGAAAACTCATGGAAGAAATTTATAAATTTATACCATCATATTTTTATCTCTGTAAGCTGCATTTCATCCACACCTTAACTCTTCTGCACATTCACCAGTCTTCTGAGAGTTCTCTGTCCATTCCATCTCTCCTTCCACATCAATCCAAGCATTTTGCTATCCACTTTCTTTTCTCAAGCCTGCTTATCTATATGTTTCAATAACCTGTCATTTGTCTGTCTAAAAAGGATTTGTTGGAGGAGAAAAATATATGGATAGAAAATAAATTATTAGAAATAGTATAGAAGAGAAAATAAAGAATTAAATTGTATTGAGGAAACAGAAGAAACAAGGAAAGAATATCTATACCAGATTTATTATGAAGTTTCATAGAATTAACAGACTTTATCAGATTAGACAACACTCTTGAGATGTATAAATAGGTTTATTTGGTAATGAACTCTGGGCTGAACCTTATTTATTGGCCATTGCTCTAATGGAATCTACAGCAGACTCTCCTTTGATCTTTTGCACTGTGTCCTTGATTTCATAGGTGAAGGTTATTTGGACATGTTGGTTGGAAATTAAGCCTATTTTCATTATCCAAACTCTGGAACATCTCCTCCCAAACTGAAACTAGAGCAAGCTTTCTGATCTTCTTCCCTTTCCCATTCAGGAGAGGAAGCTTTGACCATGTACATGGACAAAAGTCGCCTTGACCGGAAATCAGGGAATGCCACTCAGAGTGTTGAAGCTTTGCACCAGCTTGCATCATCCTATTTTGTCGACCGTGATGGCACCATGAGAAGGCTCCATGAGATCCAGATATCAACTGGAGCGATCAAGGTATGGCTTGAGGGTTCACTTTAATTCTCAATTCAACAGAGACATGATATAGACATTCCGAGAGCAGGTAACAAACAATTATTTGTTTCACATCAGTAAATGTATTTCATTTTCCCCCAACCATCCATTCTGATGGATACTGCAAGCTGATCTCTGACAAAATGAGTGTCTTAATTAGAGTGACCCTATGTACTGACTTATTAATACGTTTTGGCCATGGCTGTTGCAGAATTATTCACAGCCCTAACAGTCTCTGTTAAGTCATTGGGTTTGTGTGTATGTGTGTGTGTGTGTGTGTGTGTGTGTGCACGCATGTGTGCGCATGTGTGTATGTGTGTGAGAGAAAGAGAAAGAGAAATAGAAATAGATAGAGAAAGAGAAAGAGAATGGCTACCCACTCACCACTCCAATTGAAGAGGCTGAGTTTAAAAGTAAATAATTTCCCCAATATCATAGAGGTAGCAAGAATAAGATTAGTGAGCCTTAATGATCAGTTTATACAACGTTTATGATTTTTATCCATTCTCATCACCTATTTTCTAGATTACAAAGCTGAGGTCCACAGTTTTAACCATTTTTCTCAGATATATTTGTGAGAGTATCCTAATAGGAACTAAAATGCTACTCTCTAACCTGGGAATCAGGGAACATTTTCTGTAAAATGATGGTAGTAAATATTTCAGGTCTGGGGGCTTTTGGTTGCTACTTCTCAGGTCTTTCATAATCACATAAGAACAGCCATGGACAATGCATATACAAGTATTGTGATTGTGTCCTGATAAATCTTTATTTACATAAGTGAACACTTAGGCACACTGCTCACTGAGCCATGCTGTTTTGCACCAACTCCTCCCAATAGAACATTCAGAGATGTGAGTTACAGAAACTATTTGTGTCTGTGCTGACCACAAAGTAGCCTTTAGTCACATGTGATTATCAAACACTTGACAATGTCTAGCAAGAATGTCCATTTGTAAGTTGATTCAATTTTTACTGATTCAAAGTCAAGCGGACATGTTGGTTATAGAAGCATTGAATTTAAAGTCAGTGGCTTAGCGTACAGGAAATTTAAGATTCATTTCCAGTACAGTGAGTTTAGAGATGACTTCTATAAAGAAAGTATGGGAGGACATTCTTGAAATAAAGGATTAATTCGTCAGAGGATTTTTTTCCTGTCCTAAATTTTCTTAAACTAGATTATGCCTGTAATTTGCTTCTATATCTTCACTCTAACTTCTGAATAAAATGTGACTCTTGCCTCCTATTAAGAATCCCTAAGACGTCTCCAGGGAAACAAGACAGAGGGAAAGGTCAATTTAGACTTGGGCAACTGGCATCTGATATTGATCACTAGAAGATAAACCTTGGAGGGTAAGAGGGCATAACTGGGGATGAAGGTAGTAAGGTGAGAAATAAATCAGACTGACAAACAAACAAGCAGCTTATTCGAAAAAAAAAAAACAGCTATGTTTGGGGGATTATGCTGTTAAGGAGCTTGGCATCAGGAGACAGATCTTTATGAAGCCATCAGAGCTGGGGAGCTGCAAAGGCATGGTTTTCATTATTACCAAATTGTTCTCTGGCCCTAGATGGAGTGAAGAATTGAGATATTGAAGCACTGTCAGGAGATAATCTTTTTCTGAGCATCCTGGAATGTGTAACCCGCCTCCTGAGGAGGGATTTCTTAGAAAAATTGCACTGAAGCCTCTCAATGAACCATTTTTACACTAACCCTGGCTTCTCCACTCAATTTGGCCCTGGAAAGTTTTTGCCATCTCTTACCACTGTCTCAGGACTGAGATAACTACAATTTGCCTCACTGTCAGATGTTTTGAAAGTCAGCCTAGGACCCATAGGATATTTATAGTAAAATAACTTAGTGGTGTTAAGTCTTACTCAATAAGAAGTACTCTGTTATTTGGCACAAAAGGAAGGAATTATTTTTTTTTTCTAAAAGTGCAATTATCATTAATTGATTGATTGTATCCTAAATACAAAGTACATAAAAATTATGGCCCCTTGGGCATGCAAGAGGCTCAACAAGCAAAGGTACTTACTGGTGACCTGGTGACCTAGTGACTCGAGTTTTATCCCCACTCCACATGTAAAGTTGGAAGGAGAGAACAAGCTCTCCGAAGTTGCCCTCAGGCCACTGTATTCATTCTGTGGGATGTATGGTCCCACTTGAAAAGTATGCACAAGTATACAGGAGCACATACACACATAATATGTATATTATCATAATACAATTATAATAACAGTTTGAATATATAATATCTTTACCTCTTTATGTAAGAGTACTGCTAACTTTACACAGAGGGAAACTGGAGACCGAGGAAGGGAAAGACACCTGAGTAGGGTTACCCTTGTGGAAAATGACCGAGAAGTTACATTTGGCTTTCCCACAAGTGGACTTTCCCTCAGGGGAGGTTGTGCATTTAGAGTTGAGCACAAACTCTAGCACAGCTCCCAAGAATGGTGAGTAAAGGGATAAACCCTTCAATTCAAGCATATATTAAATAGATATTCCTTTTTGTTACCACCTAGAACCTTGGAAGACAAAGTCACAAATACACAATAGAATTCAGATTTATTTTAACCCTGCAGTGTCGCTGATTGCTGTTACTGCTGAACTTTCTTTGGAAAAATGGAGACAGATGTACTTTTCTTGCTTGACAATAGTGCCTATGTACGTATTGCAATTTATAGAGATATTTTGTCATCAACTGGCTATTTTGAACACTCCCTGTGGCAGGCACTTAGAGTCTTCACATGTGTCCTTCAGCCTCCCTGGAAAACAATGATAGCTTGAGTTTGCTGACACTTAGAGGAGTTCCATAAGTGACTTCCTCATGCCACACAGCAAATAAATGGCCAGCTTGGAACGAATGGTAGTTTTTCTGATTCTGAAACTGGGCTTTAGAACTGTATCATTGGCCGGGTGATGGTGGCGCACACCTTTAATCCCAGCACTCGGGAGGCAGAGGCAGGCGGATCTCTGTGAGTTCGAGACCAGCCTGATCTACAGAGCTAGTTCCAGGACAGGCTCCAAAACCAGAGAGAAACCCTGTTTTGAAAAACCAAAATAAATAAATAAATAAATAAATAAATAAATAAATAAATAAATATAGAACTGTATCATTGTGTGCTAATGTATTTGCTCATATAACACTTAGTGTGACCTCATGAAGTGAGAGTTGGTGGCCGATAGTGGACATTATGGACTCAATCTGTGTTTGTGTGATCATATTTGCTGTCCAGTCTACTTAATCTGAGCCACACACAGTTCCAGGCCCAGTGCACACATTCTGGAGACATGTCAGGTGTGGAATCACTTGTTAGGATCTGCTATAAGCCAGTACTCCTAGCTAACACTTTTCTCACTTAATGTCCACTCTAGGTCACAGAGACACGCACTGGGCCTTTGGGCTGCAACAGCTATGACAACCTGGACTCTGTGAGTTCTGTCCTCCTGCAAAGCACGGAAAGCAAACTGCACCTTCAAGGTAGGAACGTGTTGCGAAAGGGGCGGTGTTGGGGTGGGCGAATGATAACAGTGCAGAGAGGATGAGAAAGGTGAGGCGCACGGAGAAGAGAAAAGGGCGGGAGGGGCAGAAAACAATGAAAATTTGAAATATGGAAATCAGACAGCTGTGATGTGATACACAAGAATTTTAACATATACAGAGCTTTAAAACTCATGGTTATTAATTAGTTTTCAGATAAAAAATGTGGAAGTGTGAGCTCTATCTGATTATTTTGATAAAAAATGTCTGAACAGTATTATTTATAGATGCCTGAAGTCCCAGACCTACTATATATTAAAGTTTTATATCTTATCATCTGTATTTCTTCCTTATTGATTTGATTTAGAGTGTGTTTTGCAGACATTTAAATCTCAAGAAAAAGAATATTTTATAGAATGTGTTAGTCTCTGTAATTTCTTCCTTTATTGACTCATAATTTTAAATAAACACATACATACACACTTTTAGCAGTGTTAAAAATCAAAAATGCTCACCACTGACTGTATGTAGGAAGATGTATTTGAACACAACCTTTAATACCATAACCATTATGGGGATTTGATGTGGGAGGTCCTTCTGTCTGCCTCTTGCTTTCATTGGTTAATGAATATAGAACTGCTTTGAGCCTATCGCAGGTAGGAAGAGAACTAGGCAGGGAAGACTAGATTGAATTATGTGAGAAAATAATTTGATTTTTGTAAAAGTTTCTGTTCATTCAGCATATGTCAAATTTAGATTAGTAAATTTACCTTATTTATTTCAGTATGCGAGAGAGGAAGTGATTTTTAGGTAGAAAAATATATAACAGTATAGATGATGTTGTTATTATAAACTATATATATATATATTTTTTTTTCTTATGTTTTGAGACTATAATACAACTACATCATTAGCCCTTCCCTTTTCTTTATGTATATTTTAAAAACTATTTAACCATCTCAATTTTCGACGTGTAAAGTAAAAACGAACTATGACACATCTCTAAAACATTATTAGGACAGTAGTGAAATGTTATTTATAAAGAATTTTCTAGAAAAAATTATTTGGCATTAATTAATAACTGCAAGATTTCTCATTCAATATGACTGATCTTAACAATATAGAAGAAGAAAAGTACTTCTGTAAGGAAATACTGAGATGTCAAAAGAGCGTACTTTTGGAGAGTGACATCACATGCTATTTTAAGCTCCTAGTTGCCTTTTCAACTTTCCTTCAATGATCACATATTAATTTTACAGTCAGTAAAATATCATCTGCTTTAACTTTGCGGAGACAAAATCATAACCTTCCCAAAAAGTATATGATAAAGATGATTTTGAGTGTCAGTGGGAAGAACTTGGATTCAAGGCAGGCATAAGGCTTATTAGAGCCTAATAGAACTTTTTCAGTGTTCTGGTATCTTGACAGTTCTGTGGTTCACATACTTCTTGCAGACAATAATTGAAAAATAGTGTATGCAGGGCTTAATAGTGTCACTGGGAATCCTTAATGAATATAACTTGGAGAAACTCGTGTCAATATGATGGTTTAATGTTTAAACAAATTTACACACAGACACACCCACACATAACATCTCAGATACTTAGAAAAAATCTAAGGGAATTTACTGTTCCCTTTAGTAAAGAAAATAATAGGTATGATGAGTTCATAAAAGGAAATGGCAACAAGGCATAGCTCATATGCCTTGGGTGTACTAGAATTTTCAGCATCTTAGTTGAGGTGATACCTATAGGAAATCTTTGGAATGATACTTAAGATTATAATCCAGGCAGTTGAATGTCAGTGAGTGTGCTGTCACTTGCTGTGCAAGCTGTCAGTACACAAAACTATAAATTACTATTATAATAAACTTAATAAGGGAAATCAGATGTTACTACCAAGGACAATTTTGATGTTTTCTTGACACTGAGTCTAATTAACTGTGAATCCAGTAAAGCTTAAGGTTTAATAATTTTTCACCTATGCCCTCACATTTTCATTTTCAAATTATGTATGGAACTCTATTTCCAATAACTTTCTTCCTTTTCAACACCATTCTGTATAAGATCCTGCCATCTAAAACCTGGGAATCCCATGGGTAACATTACTAGAAAGCTGCTCTTCCTACAGGAATAAATTGACAGCCCCTTTCTCTAGATTGATCAGAGCTCAGCTGAAGGATTAGATCTGTATGCAAGTATTTCATATTAAAAATGGTGTTGAGAAACTGGAGTGTCTGGAGAAATGCCTCAAAAAATAAGAAAGAAGGTTTACTTAAAGCACAAAGGATTTGCCTGCAAATATTTGAAGCACTCACAGAAAACAGTTATCTACATTGATGTGGACAGAATGTACCAGGCTTAATGCAGTACAAAGGAGATAGTAGTATCCTGCATTTAGCACATTGTAAAATGAACCTTTCTTCTGTTTATGGTCCCAAAGAACCAGAACCAGGATTTCACACCGATGAGATACATGCAATGTCACTAAGCAAGACACTAAGTCTCATATGGCATGCTCAAGGCACATTTCTGCCCAAACATAGAGTGTGCTACTTGCTGAGGTAGTGACTTCCTGTTAGTGAAGAATTACAAGAAGATATTTGGTAGAAATTTTGTATAAATTATATAAACATTATTCTGTTGAGTTGGGTCATTTTATGAAGAAGGTTTTAAGTCTTTTCTAAAGGCTGATGTTGACTTATATAAAAGTGATGAATCATCAAATCTTTACTGAAATTTGGCTCAAATTCAAAATTAGACTATATATATATATATAAATATATATATGAACATTGATGAGCCTAAGTCAATGTATTTACATCTGATTCTATATTTCCCTATAGCTTCTATATATGTCTATATATGTTTTATGATTAAATATGATGTGTTTATGTAGTATGACCTGTGAGATTATGTCACAGTATATTTATGTATGTATGAATCTATGTATAGACATATATATGCAAATATAGACATATAAATATTATTTACAAATCATTTCAGTAGTAAGGTAAGCAATATGAGAAATGGAGATCAAGAGTAATATGGGTTGTAATTCAAGAAAACATGTATTTTTCACAGAGATGCCTAAAAACACCAGCAATAAATGAAGTAGATTTTAACAGAGAAGATGTTACATGGTATCGGATTATGTGTGGGGTTTTTTGGTTTCGTTTTGATTTTCTTTTGTTTACTTAAGACGGGGTTTCTGTGTAGCTTTGGTGCCTGTCTTGGAACTGGCTCCTGTAGACTAGGCTGGCCTCGAACTCACAGAAATCTGCCTACTTCTGCCTCTCTAGTGCTGGGATTATAGGCATGTGCTATCATAGCCCATCAGATTGTGAGTTTGTGGAGGATTATTCCTGTGAGAAATATACACAGCATGAGATCTGAAAGATAAGTGGGGAGGCAGGGAGGGCATAGATGGAGAGACCAACAGAAGAGTCTTCATAAAGGAGCATTCAAGGAAATTAAAGTCTTATGAAATTAAAACAGAAAATTCAATGGTGACAAAAACACAGTGTTTAAAAGTCTATGCAGTTTCTGTTTTATATGATGACCTGAACATACATTTAAGAGGAGACATCCTGGAAAACTTTTTATTTTTATTTATTTATTTATTTATTTAGTTAGTTAGTTAGTTAGTTAGTTAGTTTATCGAGACAGGGTTTCTCTGTGGTTTTGGAGCCTATCCTGGAACTAGCTCTTGTAGACCAGGCTGGTCTCAAACTCACAGAGAACCTCCTGCCTCTGCCTCCCGAATGCTGGGATTAAAGGCATGCGCCATCACCGCCCAGCCTGGAAAACTTTTTAAAGAAGTATTGCATGAAGAGGGATGTATTGTGGAAGGTCATTGTTTCTCTGTATTGCCGAGAAATGGAGATGAGATTCGTGACAATTGGGGCCATTGAGTTCAGAAAATGAGATGGAGAAACAGACCAATTACGGAGATATTTAGGAAGCATTATGGCTCCGGTTCAATAAAAAGACACTGAAGCATTTAGATAATGAGTCAATGGAATGTTGGAATGCTATGGAGAATATGAACAGATAAACATCTGTGATTCAAGGTAATATGCATTGTAATAAGAAGAGTAAAAGTAATACATAACATTATGGGGATTCGGGGTAAAAGGAGGTTGTTCATATCCACTGTCCAGGGGAAGGAGTCTTATAAAAGATGTCAAAGGGAATCAAAGGATTTTCTCACAAGACAGAACACTATCTCATGACATTTGAATAAGCTGTAATTCTAGAAAACCTCAATATAAAAAGAAAGACTGAAATGTGAACATATTAATGTTAAAACTCTTTTTATAAAGTATATTATTAATAGAGTGTAAATGTTAGCAACACAATGCATGAAAAAGTTATTATATAAAATGTGTAAAGAATGTATGTATACTAGCATATTCTAATAGGTAATTAGCCTGGAAAACAAAGGAAATGGCTAAAACACAGATGCAAGTACTTCACAGACAAGAATCTCTAGGCGACGAGCATATGAAAAGATGATTGTTTACCAGGAAAATCTATATAAAAATCAGTATCTAATACCAGTGCCTAACACTCTCTGTCACAAATAAAAAAGACGGACAGTATCAAGAAATAAGAACTGAAGGCATGAGCGCACACACATTGCCGGGCGAAGCGTAAATTAATGGCAATAGTTTTGGGAAACTCTTGATGATTTGTGCTAAAAATTGCATATGTCCTTTGGCCGTGACCCAGAAATTTCAGCTCCTAGGGATGTGCCAAGAGAAATGTGTCCAAGTTCACAAAAAGTCATGAATGTTAACAACAAATTCATTCAAAATATCAAAAGAAAAAATTAGAAACCATTAAAATGTATGTCCAGCCACAAGAAAATAAATACATTCATATCACAAGCCTCCATACAGCAATGAGAAATAGCGTATTACTGTTTTGTACAGTGTCACACAGATCTAACGCAGAAAGAAAAAGAAACCAGATACAAAATGTATGCGTGCTATATGA